ACATTTCGCAGTAACTGTGCGTGATTTTTTAAACACAACTTTTCCACAAAGGTGGATAGGAAGCAGGGGACCAGTGGAATGGCCTGACCTGATCTGAGCCCATTAGACTTCTTTTTATGGGGTTATTTGAAATCTAAAGTCTACTTAAACAGACCTGGAAATATCCCTCAACTACAAGACCGAATCAGACAAGAAATACAGAGCATAACACCCGCTATGCTGCAGAATGTTAGAGACGAAAGTAATGCCCGGTTCAGTCATTGTCTAACGGTCAATGGAGAACAATTTGAACATTTATTGTGAATTTTCGTTTGTTTGTTTGTTTTTGGAAGTGTATCACATTAATTGTATAACTACACAATTCCATTTAATTTGTTTATTACATTCAGTAACGTATTACTTTCCATGAACATCATATTCATATTTTTTTTGCATTTTTGCCCACCCTGTTCCAATTTGAAGCAACATATTATACATTTTTGGAATCAGCTCAGCAAAGGCAATTTGGAAATTAAAAAAAAAGGGGGGGTTCCATTTGAAAAAAATGGTGATGTCATTACACGAAAGTGGTTCACCCTGTATATTAGATTATGATTTGAAACAATAGTAAATTGAAATCAAAAATCGACCTGTTTCGGGAATTTCTAATTTTATTGTACATTTAGCCAGTAATGAATTTATGCGTTACTTTATGGACGCACTGTATAGTACTCAACTCAATAAGCTGTCTTCGAAAATGTGGACAAATCTGAATTATTAAAATTTTTAAGGCTAATTGGAATCAGACTTAAAATAATGGAAATAAATACTGAAAAGTGTATGAATAGAAATAGAGAAAGTAAAATTAATTATGTAAATGATTTGTCAATATTCCATAGACCTTCCCACACTGATATCACTATTTATAAAAATTCAACACACCCTCACCAACACAAAATTGCAGCGCATAATAGTATGATACGTAGGCTAGTGAATGTCCCTCTTTCAGAGGTAAATTTCAATAAAGAACTCAATATTATAAAATGAATTGCAGTCAACAACGGATACAACGTTAATTTGATAGACAATACTCTTCCTAATTCAATTCAAGAAGTTTATCCTATCATCAAAACCGGATCATCAACTGAAAAATTATCTTCATTCCTACATAAACTTTAAAGTTGCCTATAGATCCAATAACACGTTGGGAAGGTTTTTCAAAAATAATAAAGATGTATCAACTCCTCCACAGAAAACGCTATTTGACGATGATGTGGGTCATTTTGACATCTATAAAAAAGGTACACCTTTTTTATCAACAGTAAAAACAAGAGCTTTTTTTATCGGATAGATTTCTCTTGGTAACGAAAAACATTTGCCGATCAGTAATTTTACGAGAAAAACTGACATGGAAAAATTGTGAGACCGTAGGTCGGTCAATTTTGTCTAATGTCAGTTTTTCGAGAGAAATAACTGACGGAAAATATTTGAGTTAGTAAGGAAATTTATTCATATGTAATACCACAAGTGATAATATTTTGCCGGAAATATTCGGTGATTGTTACGACAGCTTGTTGCCTAGTAATTTCGTGAATGACATTGTTATCAAAACTACGAGCCGTAGGCGAGTAGTTTTGGATCAATGTCATGAGCGAAATTAGAGCAGTAAGCTGGAGTATGTCAATCGACGAATATTTCCAGGAAAAATAGTATCACGAGTTGTATTCGTATGACTATTTCATGATTGAATGAGACAATATATACAGGGTGTTGCAGACTCAAATGTACATACGATACTGGCATATAGGGGACACTTTGACGGTTTCAAGTCACCCGTATTGAAATGTTTACCGTCTTTGATAACTGAGATACAGGACGTTATCTTGATTTTGGCAAAATCTTCATCTGGTCATGATTCTTTAACCACATTGTATAATCTATTTATACTTGGTAGAAATATTTCACTTATATTACACATCAAAACTAAATGAAAATTGAGATCAGAATCCAGGTCCGTCTTAAGGAAAAACAGAAAACTTGTTTATTTCAAAAACAACACTCTGTATGACAAAATTTTGTGGATCTGTTGTGATATTTGGAAAGAGCAGGACAAAATTAATGGAGTAACCTACTTATTACGGGTGCGCATCCAATTTGACAGATGGTTTAGCATTATGTTTTGAAATATTCACCCCATTTCGAGGAATTTTTATTGAAATGTAATTAAAAATCCAATTCTGATACAAAAAAAATAATTGTCTTCAAAGTTGATCGTCATTAAAAACAAATTAGGTGAACTATTGATAGATTTACCGCAGCTCATGAATCAATAGTGAAGAATAAAACAAGCCCTCAAAAATTTCCAAAACCACAGACGTTATTCTGTCGAACGAACAGATTTATCTATTTCACCCCAATGATGTTGAACTTCGAAGGACGTTATTATTTTGTGAAATAATTGGATTTTGAATTACGAGTTCAATAAAAATGACTCAAAATGGAGCCGAGTATATCAGAAAATAATAATAAAACATCTGTTAAATCGGATGCGCGGTCGTAAAAAGTAGGTCACTTCATTCGTTTTTCCCTGCTCTTCTGAAATATTGAAACAGATATAAAAAAATTTGCCATACAGAGTGTTGTTTTTGATATAAAAGAAGTTTTCTGTTTTTTCTCAAGACGGACCTGGATTATGATCCCGATTTCCATTTAGTTTTGATGGGTAATATAAGTGAAATAGTTCTACCAAGTATGGATAGATTATACAAAGTGGTTCAAAAGCTATGACCAGATGATGATTTTGCCAAAATCAAGATATCGTCCTGTATCTCAGTTATAAAAAACGGTAGACACATCAAAGGGGGATGATTTGGAACCATCACAGTGTCCCCTATCTACAGGTATCGTATGTACATTTAAATCTGAAACACCCTGTTTAAGAAATAGGATACATAATTTAAGTATATTCCAACTCAAACTGCGAAGAAGAACATAATGATAGTAATGAAATACAGAATTCAATTTTTTTGAAATTAACTACCTACTTATAGTTATTCACAAAGTGGAATGTACAATTTTGATAAACAGTATTTTTTTTATCGTCTTGGAGATGGTTGCTCTCGAAAGAGTGTATACAATTGCTATCCAATTCAAACAAAATACATTGAATTTATGTGACATGAAATAATTGAAAAAAAGATATCGTTGCCGAGGGGCTCGAACCATCGACCTTCGTATCTTCGCGCAACAACCCTATCAGTTGAGCTACATCATCAGGTATTAGTCACAATAACTTGAGTGATTGAAGAAGATTACTTCAATAAGGAATTTGAATTCTAATATTGTTGTGTCAGACCGTCAAAAAATATGCAAACTTTTTAAATTACACATGAAACGTCCAGTCAGAATAAAATTGTCTCGCCTTTCGTACAAAATGTCTCACTAACGCGAATTATAAGTAAATAAAATAAAGTTGATACCTAGGTTATTATCTCAGATTTGAATCCAAAGCAATCTTGACCAGACACGATGTCAAAATTTTATCGCTGATAAACGAGGTTTGTTGGTCACGTGTGGGTCAATTCGACTTCTGTATTGGTAGAGCAAGTCCGATAAAATTTGATGAACAAATACAGAAGAAACCGTGAAAATGGTCGATTCTGATTGGTTCTCGAAATCAAGAGTGGAATAGTCAATAAAAAAAAAGTTTGAGTGTTTTTTAGCAAGATAAATCAAGGACAATATACGAGTAAACAACAATGAAGATTACCTTTATTGATGAATCCGTGTAACTGGTATTTTGCGGAATTTGTGTCCAATTCGTTTTATGCTAAGGATGACAATAAACGTAAAACACAATATTTATGTCACCAAATATTATGCAAATTTATATGCATTCCTAAAACGCCAACAGAATATAAATACGAACCTGAAGTTGCAATCAGTTTCATTGTATTATGAATTATGTTCCCATAACTTGGTAGATTTCAATGCAAATAAAACACAAGCATGCCTTTTCTCTAGAAAAGCCGATCTCACTGTGCCCAACATAAGCTTGTCAGGAGTAAACATACATTTCGATGCTTGGTATAACTATCAGCAATAACCTTTCTTGGGAAAATCAATTGATCAATTGCTAAAAGTGCCACCCAAAAACTTGGTTTTATGTTTCGGACCAGGAGCAATTTCACTTCCAGTCACCTGCTTATGATCTATAAGGCACAGATCCGAACTGTCCTGGAATACTGTTCCCATATTTGGAGTGCAGCACCCAAACATACCCTGAAACTGTTGGATTCTGTCCAAAAAAGGGCAATTCGTCTCGTGAGTGATGCCTCGCTCACAAACTCACTCACTTCTTTGGAACACCGTAGAAAAGTTGGCGATCTGGCTCTATTCTATAGATATTTTCATGGACGATGCTCTTCTGAAACATCAACAATTGTTCCTCCCTTGGCAGTCCCCGCGAGATTAACCCGTCGAGTTGAGGCTTCGCACCCCTTCGTGGTCACTTTGGAGACCTGCAGAACATATCTTTTCCGAAGACTCGTTCATTCAACGAACAGCGAGGCTCTGAAACACATTGCCAAGGAAGGTGTTCCACGAGGTATATAACCTCCAGCAATTTAAGAAGAACACCAATTCCTACCTTATTTCCCTTGGTTCTCACCATTTCTCACGATGTTCTCTGAACATTACAGGATATCCCTTTTCGTGGGAACCAGAACTAAAAAAAAAGTCCCTTCGAAGCATAGTACCTATGTAACGCGTTTTTAATCTCTTCTAGACACTCGTTTATTAAACATTTGCTCTGCTCTGCTGCGCTCGTCCTTAAAATACTCGTTACTAAAGGGACGTTTATAACACTTGTAATATAATATACTATTGTGGAAATCTTATCGTTTCTGATTTGTTTTTGCATTACGTAATGGCGTTATGGTTTGGGCCGTTCTTTGTCTATGTATAATCAATTACTGAGGGCTATAATAGTGGGTCGAATTAAAAAAATGTTCGTTTTCTAGTAGGTCGCGGAATGGTCGAAAAGGGCGAGAAAACAATGAAACGGTCGATAGCAGCGATTCTGAGACCACAAACAAAAAGAGGCCGAAATTAGATAGAGTGTTGCTGAATAATGGAGATAATGGGTTGATTTCCTTGAAAAAAAGTATGAAAGCGAAGGATCGGATCAACAAGGCAAAATCCAAACAGGATAAGGGTGAGTTCTTTTTTATATTCATATTAAACTAACTCCAATGCCATCTATTCCTGTTCTGGAAAACGTTATTGATAATTTCACAATGTATATAGGGTGGAGACTTTAACTGGAATTAACTCATTAGTGGAGAGGTGAATGATTTTTCTGAAAATGTTTTCCATGTAATTTGAACCTATCATATCTACGTATTTGTGACCAAGTGACCAGTATCAACTCAATCAGGCAAACATTTAACTGAAAATGTTTTGCTCAAGTAGAATTCCAACGAAATCAGTTAATTTGTGGTCATATGATTGATCACAACCAATCAAGAAATCAGTTAAATTGCGGTCATATGATTGATCACAACCAATCAAACCAACATTATACTGATCTACCTCCAGTGCAATAATCAATCACTATGACAACACGGTTGAGTTTGACAACTTCAAGAAAATTTCCGCCGAATATCCCGCGAACATTGACAAATGTGTCGTAATTTTATGACAAATTTCTCTAGGGATATTACTACTGAAAGTAGCACGATTCCGATACCGTATGCGATTTTTCGTTATTCCAGATTTTTGGGGATTTTCTCTCCTCGTTTCTCATCATCATTATCTTTATTGTTCCCAAGAAACAATTGACGTATATGTTTATAACAGGGAACATTAATAAACCATAATGTATTACATTACACTCAAAATATAGTATTTATAGGTATAATAATTGTTCTAGTAATTCTCATAGTTTGAGCAGATCCTTGTTTGAGTGAATGAATGATTAAAATAATTGATATGTTATATGATCTCAATATGGATGACATGACAAAATTCAGACGAATAAAAATATGAATATTATTTCAAAATCCCATTTTCAATACAAATTGTCACTGACAAGCTAGTGAATTTTTCTTTTAGGCTCTCTGATAGGAACATTCTTTAAACGCAGTGACATTCCGGGGCAAATCATCTGATTTGTCCTTGAGAAAATATTCCAATTTTTATTTTATAGAGACGAGGCGAGAAAATCTGGAATAATGAATGTTCCACCTCCTCGATTATCCTACAGACAGTATCTCCCGATTTTTATTTTCAATTTTCCACATTTATAAGTTAATATCAGATATACAGGGTGATCCACGTTTTATTTCCTCTTGAACATAGATGTTCTGTTTTCACCATAATAAATTCATAGTTGTATTGTGTTGTAATTGTTAGTTGATAATATTCATTCTTAATGTTATTTTAATACTATTCACTAAACTCATCCTCCCTGTATGTCTGCTTTCGCGAGTCCGAGAGTTTAATGTTAAGGCCGCCGCGAGCGCCCCCTGAACTTTTTGGGTATAACAAGTGAAAAGGACAGACGATTTTTGACTTCGACAGCTACCGCAACCACGTTTTGTTGTTGTCGAATCAATCAATTTGACTCTCATGTTTTCCCACTGATCTTGATATATTCAGATCAACTTTCATCTCATCATTGATCTTATGATCTAACAATTCAGTGATTTCCCACCAATCTTAGTTAAGTGATTTGGCGCGTACTTTAGTGACGTGTAACAGGACAAATTAGGTGCGTGTTACCGAACTATCCTGTGCATCTGCTTTACCGCCGGCCGGCTGCAGTTACGTGTGGTTACGTCGTTGGAAGAAAACTCGGTAAGAACATCAAACTCTCACGAACAACGCATACATCAAAAGCAGTCCACTCAAAGTCAAGTGAATCTATTCCCGCTTACAGCGAAAAAGGGATATTCACAAAACATTAATAGACGTGCAGTATTTGCATAAAAATATGAATTTTATTATGCCCTGTAGAATTGAAATTACACTTTAGCCTTATCTTTTTCAATATTTCTTTATTGGAATCACCATTATCTTTCCTATTACCCGAGAAAAAGTATTTTATAGCGTTACATGATTTCATGGTAAATTAATATCCAAATTTTAAAAATTTGTTCTAAAATTTGTTCTATCCGTCATCCGGTTGCCCCCTTACGAGCAACCCTCAAAAGTCTTCGAAAGTCTTGTGCAAGCAAGGAATGACGGGGGCCTTACCTTTTAACGTGTGATCCCAAACACTTTCTTGGGCCATCAGAAAAATTTCTGCAGTCGACGGGGATCGAACCCACGACCGGCAAGCGAATGCGAATTAGAATATAGACACTCTGTCCGCACGGCTACCCGGCCACCCTGAAACAAGGAAAAAACTAAAAAACGAAACAGAATGCGAAGTAACAAGTTGAACGAAAGGGTCAGTAGCGAGTATTTCCGCCGTGAGCTCGAATAACTCCTTTGGGGGCTCCAATAACTTCTTGGCAAAGACGCCCCATATCCAAAATAAGAGACCTCATATTGTCACGATTGAATAGAAGGTTCTCCACAATGTCACGATTAAAATGGTGGTTTTCCATGTCATGATGTAGCGGTAGGGACTTTCACTACGCCACGTCATGGGGGTGGTATTTCACCCATATCGATTTATAAGGGGTAATGCTAGACTATATCAAAAGATAACAATATTTATTATAATACGAAACATTATGGGCAAAGTGATGAATATAAAAGAATTACAATGGATATAAAGACCTAATAACAACTTACATTATAATGACCATTACGACGAGCTCTTGTCAAGTCAATAGTAGCCCCAGACCAGACTAACTCTGGCACCCTCACATTCAATATTTATATACCTTATTTCATTAGATTTGCACGTTTCTCATGAGAGTTTCTTGGTCAGTTTTCATAGTTCAATGTCAACGGATGATTTGATCAATTTTATGTTTATGAAACCCTCATGGTTCGAAATTACTAATGTACCGTATGTTCTACTCGTGACAATATCATGTTGGTCCAGGTCTTCCTTAATGTGAATCATCAGTCTTTGCCGTGCGTTTTACAAAGTATCCTCTTGTAATCGTGTCCCAAGAATATCCCAGAGATTCTCAATGAGATTCAAATCCGGGCTTCGAGCTGGCCATGTTATGGTAGCGATACAGACTTCCTCTAGATAATTTCTCACAACTAGAGCGACATGACGCTTGACATTTATCTTGAATCAACAAAAATCCTTACACTATATGTGGTCCTGAAATCACCGATGTGTACCTTTCATTTGTGAGTCTTCCATTTATGATTACAAGTTCCATGCGACCAGCCAAAGAAATGGCTTCTCAGACCATAGCCTGCTACTTTCGTGCTTATAATGTAAATTGATCACAATAAAATCATGTTATGCTTTGAAATTGTGTTTCTGGAGAAATAGAAAAGATAATGGAGTGAAATCAAAAAAGAAAAGGCCTCAATTTCAACTTGATAACTTGACTGTTACACTCCACAGGGTATTACATGAAAAAAAAGCTATAATTGCTACACCTGGTATCCATAAAAAAGAGGTTCTTATGCTAATACAGTTTGCACGCCAATATTCAGAAGAAGATAACCTATCATTCAAAACAAGAATCTTCCAAATCGGACAATTAGTTTCGATGAAAATGTATCTCAAACTTTTGGATACTTTTTGGTGGTGCCATAATTTTTTGGAGAAGTGTATATTGAAACATTGACGTATGCCACCTCCCACTAGCGAATTTATTACATTCAAAGTCTCCACACTGTATATCAATCATTACCTGCATTTTTTTATTCTCACATTTATTATTAATATTGCTGATATCATTATTTTCAGGAAATAAAGATGAGAGTACTGCTATCAATAATCAAGAAAATAATGAAAGGCTCAGTAGAGTGAAACGGATCACAAGAAATGGTAGTAAACTTTCCGAAGAACTGAATTCTTCGACTGAGACCATCCTTCATACCATTCTTCATGATATTTCAGAGGTAAATGATTGAGAACTGTGCCAAAATTAGTAATTCACGTAACATATCCGAAAAATACTGGTTTTTACACGCTAATATTAGCTTGTTATGTATACAGGATGTCCGGAAATTATGCGCAAAAAATCAATGGGTGATTCTGCATCAGAAAACAAGAAATTTATTTTATATATACGTGGTCCGGAAATGCATAGTTTCCAAGATACACTGTGTTACACTTTAAAAAGAAAATCGTTTTTTACGAATATCTCAAATATCCTTCCACCGATTCTCTCGAAATTTGGCGATGATATGCTTTGTCATGAGCGGCTGATTTAGTTATAATTGAATTGAAACTGAAAATTCAAGATTTTGGTCTCTTGAATAGTTTTGATGTTTTGCTTTGTTTCCATGGAATAAAATGAATACCAATTTTTTCTATAAATTTTTGCAAAACATTCCTTCAAAAACAAGGGTGAAAATAAATGTGTGATACATGTTTCACACATTTTGTTTCATTGAAAATTACGCCTCCATTCTACTTCTATTTTTCGATATTCTTCCGTTTTTTTCACAGATGTCAGTTCTACAGGACGTCTCATCATTCGAATCGTCACCAAACCAGTCCATCATCTCGCGAAAGAGTCTCAGATTGTCTTCTAAGGAGAGTTCTAATGAAGGCTCGCCCATCATCAAACCTATGCCGAAAAGGGTGGACAGGGTGATGAAGGAAAAACCGGCATACGCGAAGTGAGTTGACACATTATAGGTCTGTTCATGTGTGTTGTTGGTGATGTTTAGAGCAAGCCGATCAAATCAGATCAATTACGTCACAAAGCAGATTGTAGTGCAGAGTGCATTGGCTACAAACTAACACTTTTGACTCAGCCTCGAATATTTTTGGGGTTGATAATCAATGATAGGAATTCGAAAAATGACATGGTGTGTACAGATATAAGAAGTCCAATTCTTATGAAGGTTTTTTTTAAATACCCACTAGTCCATCCTCTGAAAGAACAATAATTAATGCATGATTTCGAAAGTAATATACTTTCTTCTCCTAATTATACATACTTAGCATTCGTTTTTGAATCGATATCAGTTGGTGAAACTCCTAATATTCTAGAAATGTTTGTAGTTTTCAACCCAATTTGCTGTTTTTCTCAGGTTATCGTAACCGACCAAACTGATCTGCATTTCTTGCTCGACCATTTTTGGCCGAGTAGATTGAGCATGATCTTTTTTATCCACTGTAATTTGCTCCACACAAACGAACACTTTTAGATCAAATGCTGGACACAGACTGTTTACCTCATTATTTGTGATTTGTGATGAGTTATTGACCATAATGTCCATGTTCACCATTTTGCAAGCTGGGAGCTGGTCGTTTCCAAATTTGAAGATGACTAATAACCTTATAATATGCTAAAGTAGTTCATAATAGTTATTTATGTAATAAGGATCATAAAGACGATCATTATGGTACAAGTCGTGAATGTTATCGGGCGAGGCGTAGCCGAGTCCGATAACACGGCGTGTGCCATAATGATTGTTTATGATTCGTATTACATACAAAATTTTATCTGATGGCAATTATATCAATACATTTCAGAAAAATTAAAAACTGCATTTTCGACATGTCACAATGACAACTATTTTTAAAGGAGTAAGTATTGTGTAGTTTCAAATACTAGTAGGTGGGTGAGCTGTGCTTTGCCATTATATTAATATTACAAATTGTATAGTAATTGTTCTTTTACCATTTATAATAAATAGTTTTGTACATAGTTATGCATTTTGAATAAACTTTTTTGATCAAACCATTACATGTTTTCCTTATAGAATTTCATTATGGGACTAAGTACCATAATGAATTCATTATGGTACTTAGTCCCATAATGAGCTTCCTTATGTCATCAAAATTGAGTGACATAACGTTGTCATTATGACATGCCATCAGATAAACATGATTATTGTGGTGAATAACTCAACACAAATGAGGTAGAAACTTGCCCAATATGATGATTCTGACACATAAACAAGTATGGAGAAGCACCAAAATTATTTATGTTGGATAACTCGAAAAGCAAAAGAAAGAAAAACTGCAGTTTGAAAAAGTTATATAATTGATTTTGTCAATCAATGAAGTATAAAAATGTGGTCATTGGTGTACTTTTGAAATATTCGAGAAAATCTGTAAGTAAAAGAATTCTTCAATGCCCTCTCACTGCTCAATGGTGCATTTTCGTTCAGAGGAAAGTTGACTCTAATCAGCCTATTTTGGTCTCCAGTTCACCCTCTAGAATCTATGATACGTTGTTCTGTATTTGCTGTCATTAGATGACGTTGCAAGAGTCACTGGATGGTATCAGTATGAAAATGTCTACAACAGACATGATCATATTTCGTCAGCATGTCAGACCAGTCCTCCCGTTTGATTGCATGAATCCAATCTGGTTGCATTCTTTCCGAAATTCCACGAGTATTTCTATTAGCTCCCATTGCAGAAGGAATTCTGATGAGAAATCAGAGAAATTACCAAATTTCAAAATGAAAACTATACAGGGTGTTAACAAATAAGTAAATGTCACAACGGAAAACTGTAGGTTCCTCATAATAAAAGAAACATTTCTTTCCTGTTCAAAATTTTTCTCCAGGCTTCCGTTATCACGATACAGGGCGTCAAAAAATTAAAAATGTTCAGTCTAATTGAACACACTTTACAACACTTAATAAACTTAACAATTTGAAAACCAGCATCGAGACCAGCATACTCAAGAACCTGACATTTGATTGAACATATCATTAGACAGTTCTGAGGTGTTTATTTCCAGTGGATTTTTAGACGATTTTTGGAGATACCATCAGGATTTTGTGTGTTCTTATCCATAAAGAGACATTTCTCGCGGAAACTGTTCACTTTAGAGCATTGAGACAAGAGTACGTTTTTTGTGTGAAAGATATTGGCGCTTCAGAATCTACTTTGAAAATTACAATTTCTCCAGTGGCATAAATGTTTGGGAAATTAAACTCTTACGAGGCATTGAATTCTCCTCCACTGACATGTCCAAGGAAATTGATCAAAAGCCCTAAAAGTAGTCATTATTGATGATGAATTGTGTACGAAGGCGTAACTCTATATAACTGTATTTTTTGACGCCCTGTAACTTGAAAACGGAAGCCCAGAGAAAAATTTCGAAAGGAAAAAATTTTTTCTTTTTTCATGAGGAATCTACAGTTTTCCGTTGTGACACTTATTTGTTAACACCCTGTATGTGAGTGACTATAGTAGGTACTCACTTTTAAATCATAATGTACCAACCGGATTCCTTCGTCTCTTGCTGCATTTTTTGTGCATTGTACAACAGCACAATGTGATGGCATGTGCGAATTAATGAATAGCCGAAAAACACAATTCGTATGCCAAAATAATTGTGAAAAACTATTTCAATCTTTTGTAAAAAAATGAGAAAAGTGAGGTTGTCTCAACGTTTCACCTCCAGGGTCGGTCATCTGACAGATCTTGCACGCAACCCATTGAAAAGACAAAGAGCAGAATATATGTCTTATTCTTTTATTCACTCAAACCATTGTAGTATAGAACATAGCAAAGGACAAAAGTTCAGCTGTGTCCGAACTCTTATTCAACTAATACCATCCAGTGACTCTAGTTGCGATGACAATAAAAACTACGGGAAAACATATGGTCGCCAGTGTTACCAGGTCTACCGTTTTTATAGTGTAAATTACCGTTCTACGGCAGAACCTCAATATCTACCGCTTAATTTTTCATTTATACAAAGAACAGAAAAGTAACCTATTTTCAACAAAATGGAAACAAATACAACGAACATTCTCATAAAAAAATAATCATAATCCTCATTCTCAATTTAAAAATACTCACAAATATAAAATACACGTACTTGTAAAATTTGAGTATTGTTATAATATGTCTTTTCAACGAATCAAACACTTAAAGCTTTAACAATTTATTCACTTCGACCGACTCGTTACCCTGCACAATGAATACTGACTTTTATCATACCGTCCAGGAATGTGTGACTCCAAAATAAATCACCGTATTGCATTGTATAACACATTAATCAGTTGAACATTCCATCAGCTCGTTCATATTAATCGTACAACAAAATAATGAAAGTAATGATATTTAAACAATGAAAATATTAATAAAATGATAATAATTATTATTCTTCACAGTATATAAAAACAGGAAAGAAGAGATCATAAAAAACAGGAAAAATTGAATTTGATCTGTATGATATAATGTTTTGCAGGAGATCAGTAAATCGATATGCAAATCAGGGCATCTACTGAAAATTCATTAGAACTGGCAATCCTGCAGCTGATGAAAAGTGTTCGAGGATGAAACGTTATTGTCTACGGACGGAAAATACTTGCCTTCGGAAATATTCGGTTTTTCGTTTGGAAATTAGAACGTAAAATGAGGTCGACGATAAAATCATCAATAACCACTCAATATTCTTCAGAAGGTTATGAAATGTTTCGCATTAGATCAGTAGATCAATATACAATTCAGGGAATCTACTGAAAATTCAGTAGAACTGGCAACCCTGCAGTGGACGAAAAGTGTTTGCGGATGACAAGTTAGTGTCTGCGGACGAAAAGTACTCACCTTCGGAAATATTCGGTTCTTCGTTCGGAAGTTAAAACCTAAAGTGTGATTTTTTTTTGTAGAGGTCAAAGAAAAAATCATTTATGCACGACCGGGCGTAAAGTAGCACTTTACCGCCCGGGTTTGCGGGCGTAAAGTGGCACTTTACCGCCCGGCGGGCGATAAAGTCATTGAGCTGGTGGTAAAGCTAATGTCACTGTCATATCGATAGAAATCTAGATTCCAATGGTTTCAATGAATGCAAAATGATTGGGAAAATAGATCAGAATTATACAGGAATGCTCATTTGAATATTGAAGTTTTCTTTATATTTCTGTAATCGAAAATTATATGATCAAACCCAAAACTTTATTAACAATAATAAAACGAATCAATTAACATAAATAACGAGTTATAACTTAATATTTATAATACAATCAGAACAGTTAGTTATAGATATATTTGGATTTGTTGTCTTCTGCTGTTGCAGGTAGCTGATTCCAACTGTGTTTGGTACTTTGTACATCACCCTTTATGTTATATCTAGGTCAAGTAGTTAAGACACCATGTATGTCCAGTACTTTACCTGTATGATCCTGTATAATGGTAGTTGCTAGTGGTATTACCCTATATAGGATAGGATTTCATTTGTTGTTATCATGACGACGTGTTGTTGAAACATAAGATTGAATCAATAAAGTTGGGAGAGAAATTGCAATCGGTTGCAATTTCCCTTTTATTCTTCATATCATATCAGTTTTATTCAACAATCGAAATACAGTCCACACTCATCAACAAGAGCATCGAACATATTGGTCCAATCGAGCGGATTCAAGAGTTCAACAGAATTCATCATCATCGAGAGTCGTCATTCGAGAAGGCAACATCGAGTCAATCGAAAGGCGCAAGAAGCAACAAGTTCCAGACGACGGTTGATGTAAGCAGCTGGCCAAGCATCCAGACCTGTGATACAGACACAGAGCAGACAACCGTGAGCAGCTGGTACAACAGAACATCAGGATATCGTTCCACAACAGCAAGGTCAGGTAGAATTTTGTATTGTTCTCTATTCCGGGTCAGTACGCAGTGCAATTCAACATAAGAGGTACAGTTAATA